TTAATACAATTGTTGCACTGGATTAGTCCAGGGTATTAATAGATAGCTCTATATCTGAAAATATATTTGACTAGGAATCTAGGTGTGTGATGCATAGAAATACATCTGAGATGTACACATGTATTATAGAATGTTGTGAATGGTCTGTGGGTTTAATGTATTGGTCTTAACCATGTGCTGATTTTTTGTTCTAATGAAGTTTGCACAAGTTAGTGTCAATTAACTATCACAGTTTTAACTATTAACTAGGCTCTAGTACTTCAAAAAGGTATTTTCATATGAGTGCTCTGTAAGTCAGTCTAGAATATGATCTGTTCAAGATGGAGCCAAGTAGTTTAATCTGTAAGTGCTTATTCCATGTTTTAATTAGTTAGAAGAAAACATGTTACATGAGTTCCTCCTTGGAACTGAGACCTAGTTGTGTAGTCTTTGTAGGTTGGATGTAGGGTGCTAGTTTTCATGTGTTTGCAGTTTTTTCTGATAAACCCATAGATAGAAAATGGATTTCTGAGTTCATTTTAAGAAGCATGCAGTGTTTTGCTATTAAAATGAGGTGTCTGTGCACTATGAAATACTAAGAGTGATCTGAGACTTCTTTCATCCTGCAAGATTATAGGGAGAAAATGATAAAATATTTGGCATCTTGATATCTGTTTTGAAAACTGGAAATATGAACATAAACCAGAAGTCTTAGTCAGTTTTTATTTTCTAAAATATTGAGTAGTTAATTGTTTTAGAGGAAGAAGTGTGTGTCTGGGAAAATAATTTTTTTTCTAATCTTTCCTGCAGGAGAAACTTCCAGATAGTATTGTTAATTAACCTACTTCTATGACTACCTTTTTTACTTGTGTGTTGTGGCTTAACTCCAGACAGAAACTGAGTACCACACTGGTGCTCACTCCTTTTGCGGTTGGATGGGAAGACAATTGGAAGGATAAAACTGAGAAAACTTATGGGCTGAGCAGTTTAATAGATAAAGCAAAAGCTGAATGTGCAAGCAAAGCAAAACAAGGAACTAATTCACTGCTTCTGTGGGCAAACAGGTGTTCAGCCATCTTCAGGAAAGCAGGGCTCCACCATGCACCATGGTTACTTTGGAAGACAAATGCCACCACCACGAACATCCCCTCTTTCTTCTTCCCTCAGCTTTATATGCTAAGCATGAGCATATGGTATGGAGTATCCCTTGGGTCAGTTTATGTCGTCTGTCATGGCTGTGTCCCCTCCCAAATCCTTGTGCCCTACCAGCCTCCTTGCTGGTGGGATGAGGAGCAGAAAAGGCCTTGACTCACTAAGCCCTGCTGACCCTGTGTTTTCATCAACTCATGTTCAACTTCATGTTCAGCACAAGTTCAAAACACAGCCCCATACTGGCCACTGTGAAGAAATACACCTTCCACTAGACCGGGTTTCTCAGAGCCCTTGGGAATATTCAATGTAGGTGTCTTTAAGGCATGTGTGTGCTTGAAAAACCTTCTGGTTTTCCTTAACCAGGAAGAACTGTCTGTCCCTTGACATCTCAGTTTAGTCTTGTGGAAGTAATTTCATTCTGGGATCTTTATGTCCATTCAGCTTTGTCTAAAAATAAGCACTTAGCCTCCGGGACAAACACTGTGGTATTTACTTTCCTACCACTGCTCCATACACATCAGGATGTTTCTTGCTTCTTGTTTGCTACTGGGATATTTTGAGCTTGATAATATGGCCCCGGATTCTGAGCTGTTATAAATCTCTGCTTCCTATTAGACTTCTGCCACTCGTCAGTAACTCTTTTAAAATGTGACTGCATGTTCCCTGTTTTCTAGGGGAACCTGTCCTAATACTTGACAGAAACAAGCATCTACAGTCATTAATGTCATAGGGTCAATGTAGCTGCAAAAAGGGTAAAGTTGTGATGTTGTGCTCATAATAAAATTGCCTTCTAAGTTTCGGTTGACCATGAGTTTTGGTGATGGTTTATGGACAGAAAAATGCCAAGTATGGTTTGTAATACCTGGATCCAAATATTTTGTTGCTTGCTATTTTTTTAACTTCTGTCAAAAAAATACCAGGCAGAGTTTTGAGAATATGTAGACTAAAACAAATTAAAACTTGTGAATATTCTAATTATCCTTGAAACAAAGCTCTATGAAACTTAAGAAATGCAGTTTTGCAGTAAATTTAAGGTTAAGGAAAATATTCGGAGGTCTATAAATACAGTTTTAAAGCATAGGAAAACCTAGAATGTTTTGAGGATTGCAAGATGATAAATTAAAAGTGCCAACTTTTATAAAAGATATTTACTTTAATCTGGGATTTCAAACATCTTGACTGTTGAAGTGTATGGGGTCAGGATTGGATACTTTAACTATTTTATCCCTTAACACATTTCTGTTTTAAAAAAATAATTATCCTTGACTCCGAATCCTTTGAACAAATTTATTTTTGGGAAAAGATAATTCTGGCAATACTTTTTCCCTTAGGTGTGTTTTAATATATATATATATAAATTGTTTCCAATTTCAGATAATGGTCGTGTGTGAGGAGAAGTTCTTAAGCTTTCTATCAAATGCTAGAGAACAAATTACATTATAGTGCTAATGAATTGGAGAAACTTGGCATTGATCTTAAACTTGTTTTTGATTTCATGTTTTTAAATCGGGTGAAGCAGTGTATTCTGGCTGCTTTGTGCTAGAATGGAGCAAATGCAAAGCAGATGGAATGTCTCGGGTATGCAAGAAGGTTTAAAGCTTGTGCCTGTTACCAATGCAGCCCAGCTGTTGTGTGTGGCTGTGAATCTTGCCCTTGGTTTTCCATGGGTGTCCAGAACTCTCATACTTTTGGGATGAATTCAAGACCAATGAGAACTTAATCTGTGTATTTTGACAGGGACCTTTGCGTTGCTGCTATTGTAGCTCTTAGAATTGCCATTTGCAGAACGGCTCGTGTGTGCCAGGTAGTGATTGGTTATGGGATGTCTGTGTTTAAGATACCACTGCTACTGTGCTGTCTGCCAGTTACAGTAATGACAACTTCCGTGTCTGTTATTGGAGGTGGGTGAAATTTTTCTAAAACTTGCATATCTTCGTATCTGAGAACTCAGAATCTTTCATCTTTGTATTTAAAATCAAATGTATTGATTTTCAAGTCTCGAGAGAGTGAAAGTCTGTTTCCAAATATCTTTCCATCAAACACAGCCAAAGGATTTTGAATTTTACTACTGCACAGGCAGCTGTGATCTTCGTAAGTGGTTTGCGTGGGTGTTGGTGTTCAGCTCTCCCATGAAATTTGCCAGAAAAGAAATTAGATGCTTAATGAGATGGGAATTAAAGCAGAAAGTTGATGGTATAGATGATTTAGCAGTAATCTAATGTGGAGCTAATTGGCTAGTATCCAAATTGTGCTTCTGATTGTTTGTTTCCCTCTGGGGGAATATGTTATTGAAAAGTAGATGGCTGCTCCCCTGAAGTAAAAAACAACCATAAGCTTCATGTCTTGGTATTTTGTTCTAACATCAATTTTTATCTTGTATGTCACAACTGTTTCCTATTTTGTGCATGGATCATACTATTAAAATTAAAAATGTTGGATTGTAGTAGCAAAATCCTAGCCATGTGTAGGCCAGCAGAAGTTTTGCATTTTACATCATTGGTGCCAGAATTTCACTTTAGGTTGCTATACAGTAGATGAATTTTTAATGTTTAACTTTTGGTTTTTGTCCATAGTATACTCATTAGTCAGCAGAATGCAAAAGGGATGCTATTTATATATCCATGGACTTGTACTGCTGCAGTCAGATTGAAAACTATGTCTCCAAGGAAAACCTGCTGGAAGGATTTAAAATTAGGCTAAATATCTAAAGTACTTCAGTCAAATTAGTTAATATGACTGAGGGAAAGCAGAACACTAGCATGGAGAAATAAAAATTGCATTTTTTAGGTTTTTTTCTCTACTGAAGGATAGTAATTTTAGTTTCCCTTCTTTGTGGTGAGATTTTCCTTTTGTCAGTTGTCAGTCAGATGGAAAAGTTCATCAAAGTCGGGTCTTTTAGGAGTGAACTCAGCAGTTTCAATAAATGTGTCAACTTCTGCTTTTTACCGGATTTCTACTTAGTTTATTGGTCAATACCATTTTGTTAAGCAGAAAGCATTTAGAATATTAATATGAATCATATTCTTTCATAATGCATTCAAAGGTTGTTACTTGCATGAGTAATAACTCTGATAATATGTACGATTTTCACTTCACACCTGTGCAAGATGCTACATTTTGTGCCATGCCGTGATGCTGAGTTCTGAGCAAATACACTGCCTGAATTTCTCCTTTGGAAATCAGGCATCTAGAGCACCTTAAGGAGACCTTTGTCCTGTGGGTTTAAAAACTGAAATATGATTTAAGCATTATCCCGAGTGGAGTTCCAGTCTTCTATGCCTTGACTGTAGCAGAAGGGACCTTGTAGGGTGTAGTTTTTGGGGATTCAATCTGACAGGATGTGGGATGTTTGTGGGGCTGTCAGGATAAGCTGCAAAGATAACCATTGTTTATATCTGTTCTGGAGCAAAAACTGTAGAGTGGTTGGGTTTTTGTGGTTTGTTTTTTGTTTGGGTTTTTTTTGTTATTTGTTTTTTTGTTTGTTTTTACAAAGATAAATTTTATTTTCCCTCTGGTACATGTTCATTGCTTATATCATTATGTTCTGATTTTAACTCAACATGAGTCAGTATTTATTTTCTTCGTAGCAACACCCGCAGTCCAGAGATTTTTTGAAGCTTGAACTAGAGATGCATACTCGTGCCTTCATATTGGAACGATGGTATTATTTTGTGTGTGGGCCTAATGTCATAAGTGCACGTGCTTTTGTCCTGTGGCTGTTGCAAAAGTAGCTAGTGTGTATCCCATCAACCGATGATGCTTGCCTTAGTTCTTTGAATAATTGCTGTTTGGAAGTAGTCAGTATTAACAAGTTTTAAAAGTATTTCAAGCCTTGTTTAAAGTATGTGTATTTTTTTTTTTTTTTTTAGGTGGCCTGGCTCTAGCTCAAGTACTGTTTTTTTATGTGAAATACCTGGTTCTGTATGGTGTTCCTGCCCTTCTCCTTCAAATGGATGGACTCAAACCTCCAGCTCTGCCTTGCTGTGTGAGCCTGATGCACAGTTTTACTAAAATGTGGAGGTTAGTCCTTATTGCTTTTCAGACAGTTTATTACTGATACATAGCAGTCAGTGTATAAGAACATATGTGTGTGTTCATGTTCACATACATGTTTGCTTTCATGGGCTTTTTCTCTTACCCCCTGGTTCTTCTTTGGTACTTTTTAAATGAACTTCACTTTGATGGTTACATTTTTCACTCTGTGGACAGATAAGGCCAAGAATCTCTTTCACCATTTTCATCCTCAATTTTTTTCCTTCCAGAGAAGGAAGATAAATGCTTGTTTGATCACATGAAGAAAGGTGTAGCTATAACGCTTTAATATATAGAGTAATATGGTAGAGGAAGTCTTCAAGACACTAGAGGTACTATGAAAATGGTATTTGTTTATAAAATAGGATGAATTTCTGGATCTCTTTTGTTGTTAAGGAAGTTTCAGAAAAATATTTCACCATAAACCTATGAGTTTTGAATCATGTGGTTGCTTTAAATCAGCACTGACTGAAGTCTTTTCACTGAAAACTGTCTTCCTGGGGGAATTCTGCTTAATAATTAGCTTCTGTATAGCAGTGGATTCACTTGACTTCTCTCCTCCCTTGTTCTTCTCTGCACTATCCAATATTCTTTCAGTCTGTGGGATTCTGTGCCCTAGACGTCTAAAAACATTCCTGAAATGATTTAGACTTGTCAGCTTTTTAGTGCAGAGACTCCTCATGTTATGTTAATGCAGAGCCTCTCAGAATGGTGCTCACCCTGTCTTGTCTCTGACTGCTTTGCAATATGAATAAAGCTTTTCATTTTAGTCATAAAAACAGTTGGCCTGCTGTTATCAGTTTTATTGGATGAGATTTTAATTTTGTTTTCAGCTTGAAGCTAGCTGTAACAAGAAAGCTTTATAGTTTATAATAGTTAGGCACTGTAGATCTGTAGTATTCAAAGAAATGCAGCAGGCCATAGAGTGCAGAACACAGGTGAACTATTAAAAATTTTTTGAGCTACTAACAACTGCCTTGGTTTAAATGCTCTTTCAGAGTTTGAACTTAAGACCTACAGAGTTAATACAGAAATCTATCATTTTTACCAGGCACTCTCATTAGAGCGGCATCTCTTGGCCTGCTGGCCCGTGCAAGCAGAGTTGCAAACAGTAGCATTTTTTTCCTGTTTCCAGTTCTTATTCCAGGGAATCTGTGTATTGCTCTGGAGGTGCCAAATGAAAAGAAACTTTGCAAATACCAATGACACTGCTATGCCAGGTAGTTGTAACAGGCTGTGAAAAGGTACTCAGCTCCTGCAAATATGTGTGGTGTATCACAGTAAAAACATTGTGTTTCCCTTAAAAAAAAATAATCATAACACTTGTTAGAAAATGGAAACTAATATCTAAGGAGAATACCTAATTATTTCTTTATAAAAGCAAAAAATGTCAAGTGCTGATATTTACCTCTTGCTTAATTATTTAATTCACTGTCAGAAATAAAAAATTATCTCATAGATTGAACTTGTTTGTTTGCTTTGAGTGTTGAGAAAAGTCAGTTAATATATACCTGATTTTATTTCTTGCTCTCAAAGTCCTGAAGGTAGGAGAGCTTTCTGTAGCTGTGCTAGTGTTATGGGTTGTTCACAATTATCTAAGAAGTTTTGTGAATGCCCTGAATTATGATGCCCTTATGCCTTTACAGTTAAACTCTTCAATCACACTACCCAGAGGCTTTGGAGTCTTATGTGGTGTATTGGCACATTGTTACAGGAATGTCATGTTATAAGTAGAAATAATAGCCTTTGTTTCTGAACTGTATGACCCAACAGGACAGGAAGTTAGGAAATTAGGGGTTTAGCATAAAAGCCAGCAAAAAAAGGGGGAAAGTAAATGGCTCATGTTGAGAAACCTTCAGAAAAGTGACACTGTTTCCTTAAGATGCTAAATAGGTTTTTCTAGTTTGTGAATACAAGGACTTTTATGCGGATGTTTGTAACAACTTTATTAGAGTGGGTCAAATTTATATGTTAATAAGGCAGTGCCTAGTTTTAAGCTGGTGGAGTGAGATGTGTACCAGACTTTGCTTTCATAAAACAGTAGTCTGGTAAAGCTTACTAAAAGCTTCTAATGGCCAGATTGGGAAATGGAGTGTCCGGGAATGGTGCAGCTGATATGGAGTACACCGCTGTTACCTGGCTGGCATCAGTGACACTGCTCAGAAAAAAGCGCTTGTGTATGCTTGGCTCACTCTTACCCTTCTTGCTGGTGTCCACTTGGGAATACTGTCAGAAACAGGGCTTTATGCTGGCTAGGCTTTCGAAGACCCATTTGTTGTTGTTTTTATGTCTCAAAACTTTCAGCAGTGCAGATCTCGAAGGAGAGAAGGTAGCCTGAAGAGAAAGGCAACATGAATGTCACAGTGTGAGGAATGCAAATATGCTACTTAGGAGTCTTCCACCACCACCTGGTGTCCTTTAAGCATAACAAAGCTTTTGATCTGACCCATCCAGGCCAATGTCACTTATAATCGGTACGTGCTGACATAATTCACTGTGATACAGCAGGTGGAAGAGCTTTCAGTCAGGAAGGTAAGAAAAATACCGCAGTGTGTCTAAAGTTTCTCTAGAGCTGAAAAGCAAAGCAGGAATCAAAGGACCAAATCAAGTATTCTGTTTCTCTGTTTATGGTACTAAACAATAAACTAAATTTTGTCCGTTCAGACCTAAAAATTAAAGACTTTAATTAAAAAAATTATCAACCTTATAGTAGGTTCTCTCTAAGTCATATTTAATGTAGATAGTCTCTCAAGTCAAAAAATTATCAATCTTGTTTGCTGTCTTGAGACAAATACAGATGTTGAATGTGTTACTGTGGTTTCATTTTACCAGGGTATCATTAGCTTTCTAAATATGCAGCTGCATAGCTAATAAATGCATGATAAATGTATTGCTATTCAAAACCTTTATTATAGCTGTGAAACAGTCTCTGAGCACCTGATTTCCAGAGAGGATAGCAGTTCAGTAGCACACGAACTTAGTTTTTAATGTCAGCTTTACCTTAAGTCATAAGGAGTTCAAATTTAGGTTTTGTCACCGAGGTTAAAAGCAAGGAAATGGATTCTAGGAGAGAACCAATGTTGCTGGAAACTTGCAAGTGCTTTTAAAGAATTAGCCAAAGCTGATGCCTGCCATACAGCTTTTCAGGTGGGCGTGTGAATTCTGTAGTGCAACTGGAAAAATTTATGGAAATTTGCAAATTACTTCAATATGGAAAAATATTCTGGTGGAAGAGTAATGGTGTGGAAAGTACAGTAACAACAGATAGTACATAACTAAATCCTATATCAGTTTTGACATTTTGGTAAATGACTTTGGCAATTTATTCCACAAAGAAACTTGTCAGTTTGTAAATTAGGACAACAGACCCACTGCTGTTTGTGGAAAAAAAAAAAATCTTTCTTCTATTTTTATGTTTCTATGCTACGTTACTGAGTGTGACAAGTGCTCTTCTGCAAAGATATTGGACACACTGACTGGATATGTTTTGACATGCCGTGGGAACAGCATGGCATAAGAAACCAATTATCTCTGGTCGTAGACTGATTTGAAATGTGCAGAAGCACAACACCTCTTGGTGAGGCTGGAGCGCTTCTCCTGAGAGAGTTGGGATTGTTCAGCCAGGAGAAGAGAAGGCTCTAGGGAGACTTCATAGCACCTTCTAGTACTTAAAGTGGGGCTTACAAGAAAGAGGGAGAGAAACTTTTTTTACATGGGCAGATAGTGATAGAACAAGAGGGAATGGCTTTAAAGTGAGAGATTTAGATTAGATGATAGGAAGCAATTCTTTACTCAAAGGTAAAGAACTGGTGAGGCACTGGAACATCTTGCCCAGAGAAGCTGTGGGTGGCCCATCCCTGGAAGTGTTCAAGGACAGGTTGGATGGAGCCCTGACCAACCTGTTAGAGTGGAAGATGCCCCTGCCCACGGCTGAGGATTTCGGATTAGATGGTCTTTAAAGATCTGTTTCAACCCAAATGGTCCTATGACCTCTTCTTTGTCTTTCCACCTTCAAATTTGTTCATTCCCAAGTATCTTATCCCCAAATAATTTGTAGCCCAGTGTTTTTGGGACAAATTGTGCTAAAATTTGATGCATGTTTAATATAGTTAGTCCCAGGAAGGGCAAAGGCTTTTCAGGAAGGCATTAGGAAGTAGTGTTTGGAAAGTAAATTTCTCCGTAAACAGAATTTCACCTGGGATAAAGAAAATGGAGTTGAAGAAATGCTGCCAGAGAAAAATAAAAGATGCAATGATAAAGATCTGTCCATTTTCAAGTACTATGCTATAAATTCTAAATTCCACCTTGTATTTAACACCCTGATACTTGACCAGAGAAAAGTCTGATATGTCAACCCCCCAAATTCTTGCATGTTAACAGGTGGACTAGGAGGGCTGTATTTTGCATGTACAGACACATATTCACACTTCTGTATAAACATATGTTAAGTTTATCCCGTAGACATTTTGGTGGCATCCAAAAATGGCATGTGGGTTATGATTTGCAAGAGATGGTCTGCAATTCAGTCTTGTTTACCTGCCTCATTATACTGCTAAAGCACTGTTTGCCTTACACGAAAAAAATGTGCAAGGTCTCAGTGAATTGTTCCAAATTATGGATTAGAGTTTTGCTGGGGGCTGATCACATTCTTTGCTATAACCAATCTGTAGAAAATGAATCTACAAATGATAATTTAAATTTATCTGCATCTGTTTCTTCCTCATCCTGATGCTTTTTGTCTGCATTTACTGTTGTTCCTGAAACCTTCCTCCCTCTGGAAATGGTTCCTTGTGTATGTCTATCAAAAAGGACTGTACCAGGGGTTTTTCCCTTAGTTTCAGATTCTTTTCTGGGAAAAGACAAGTCTGATACTGATGTTATGTGTGAGTGTGAGCACAAGAGATCACTGTGACCACATGCAGTAATTTTGGAATGATGAATAGCAGGCAAAAACTTCTCATCTTTTATTTCTGACTTAAATTCCTGAT